AGGCGAACAAAAAGAAACGAGGACTAAATAAAAAAAAAAAGAAAGAATAATGACAAACGTTAAAAGCGCTCAGACCCTAACGTGCATATAGGACGTTTCGATTCAATTTCCGTAGCCTGTGCGTGCGCCCGAGGAATCAAAAAGCGTGTGACGGCGGCGCTGATTACAAGACGATTATTACACCTCTGTCTTACTTTCACTATCATCGTTGCCTCCCTCTAGCAAAGTCACGATATTATTTATAAATAATACAAAAAAACTGCCTTTCCAGAGGGGAAACAAAATCAAATCGAACGACCGAACACCCAGTGACAGCGAGTAGCGTTGAACGACGAAAAAAAAATAAAAAGAGAAAAAAACAAAATCGCTTAAGCAAGTTTGATTTGTTTCCTTGCCGTGTACAACTTTTGTCTTCCTCGTTCAACCGATTAAGGATTACCGCACGTGAAACTGAACCCCTCTTTCTTTTAAAAGCATAAACAAACTCTTAATCTTAACTTCGTCATAACGTAAGATAATAATAATATTATTAATAATACAATAATAATATAATATAATGATCCATATAAACACTATCCTCTACTATTCACTCCTCGCTACATAATTTTTTTTTTCTCCTTATTATTTCCCATCCTTAGACGACCGATAAGCGCGGCAGGAAGCGCCATCCCACGCAGGTAATAAGACCGGATGCGCGCGCAGCATCAGTCAGTCCGATGCGCAGAATCGCGCCGTAAGTCGCATTTACGACAGGTATTTCGTACAATATTTACGGTATATATACATAATGTATATAATCGCAAGCTATATATGTATATATTATACATATATAATGCTTATCCCGAATATGACAGACGTCACAATGTATAATCTTTTTCCTCTATCAATTAATTAATTGCAATCAATCATGTCGTATCAAGTCACTCGTGTTATACATGTCCGCATTAGTGTCCGTGTTTTACATATGTGTTTTCATGTAATGTCCTCAGAGAATATATATATATATATAATAAAGGTCTATGCTCTATATGTAAATATTATAGGTACTTCCGCCTTTCCAATTAATCGCACAGTGTTCTGTGCATTTTCGCATTCCTCTAAGACATTTACCACCGTGTACCTCGCAACTCGTTTTCATGTAAATCGTCATTTATTCGTCTAATCAATAAATCATCATCACTTCGAATAGTACGCGATGTCTAAGCTGCTTGAATATATTTAATTGATATTCATCATAATATAATATACGAATTCTAAAACTCTACGTGGCGATTAGGATTGTGTTGGTGAGGAGGAGAGGGTTCAGGGCACATTGGTAACGCGATTCAGCAATTGGATTGGAGATTTTTGGATAAGGATTATGATAAGGATGATTACATCCTGGATAGGGAGTATGCGGATTATTCTGCGAGACAAGGTCCATGGGAGGAGGGAAGGGGGTGAGGAGGGGATTAGGCGAAGACCATGATAAATCCAACGCTTAAAAACTTCAATCTGACGTCGTGTGCTACGCGCGTAATAAAATCGTTACCCACATCCGGTATTCACCATTATCCAAATTCATACTTAATTATATAATACAATAATTATGTTACAGATACGGATGGCAAGACGAAGCCCTTCGATTACCGTTCGAGCAGCAGCGTAACAAATGACAAAGAGAGAGAGAGAGAGAAACGCGCATAAAATATTATTATATTATAGATTTATATAAAGAGCGAAACAGATCTAGTATCCAGCAAAAATAAGCCAAGCAACGTGAACAGATCGTCTTCGCGTTACTCTAATTTAATCTGTATGAACCAAAATTATTGTAGTAAGTATAAAACAAAGAAAAAATAATAATCCGACAACGAACGGAATTCGTGAGCTCGCATCGTCATACCGCAGCACATACGCATCCGTTTGCCTTATAGTCTAAATACGAAATACAATGGCCTTATTACAGGATTAGTCTAGTGCCGTAGTGCGGAGTCGTAGTTCTGTTTCGAAACGCTAGGAGATAACCTGGATTTGCGTGGAATTGGTGAGTGACGTCGTCGTGACAAAAATTCAAATTTTCAATCATAACGGCGCGCAACTCACGGGAAGAAAGAAAGATACGTTCTCTGTGTACTGGCAGAACGAAGGATAAATAATGATAAAGAGTCACGTTCTGACGTGAAATTGAATTTTTCCGCGCGACGATTCACTCAACGCCGATTGCCGTGTGATTATATCGTGTTTTTTTTTTTGTTATTTTCCTTCATTCTTGTATTATTTTTTTTCCTTGCTTTTTCCACTCTCGTATTACAAGCGAACGCAGCGGATTCATATTGCACTCGGATGTAGTACCTAAGAGACTTAATGCAACGAGAGACAAAGAGATGGGAGATAGAGAGGAAAATATAAACTCGAGAGTAATCACTACCAATTAAACCTGGCAAATTGCTACCTAAGTATCTACACCTCGTGAGGAAACGTGGATGGATGGTGTGACGTTCCTAAATCGAGTCTGTATAGTCGTAGAACACAAAACAAATATCTACGTCATTCTCCCGTTTGCGTTATCGACAAACTATATGTCTATATTTATAGCATTAAATATATATATATTTATGTATGTATAGATTTAATCTACGCGCCGATTAGAAAATATAAAATATTTTTTATATATGTTGGTTTGCATCCTGCCGCTTTTAGTGTAACGTCGTTCGTGCGTACCGTGGAAATTAATTTTGTAAAACCTCATTCTTGTCTTATCCCTTGTTTAAAATCTTTTTTTGCTTTCCCTTCCGTTCCACCATTAAACACTAACCCCACGTAAGCCCACCGACCGAGCATTGCAAAACTAATAAAAGTGATACACTTTTATTCACTCGTCTCTCCTCCACCTACCTTCATAGGAAAGGAACGGAAAAAAAGAAAAGAAAAAAAATAATGCTTAACGCGTACTTCCTATAAGCTAGTATGTACAGTCGATGCGAGATAACTCACTGTACGTAGTATCCGGTTCGTGTGCACGTAGTGCCCGTACAGCATCCGAGTGAAACGGATGGTACTCGTGAATAGCTGCACAATGACGAGGTCTGCCATGGACCATAAAAAAAAAATGAAAAAATCGACAGCTGAAATCCCATTGGCTAGACTCTGTTATGGTTACGTACTGTACCCTCGATGAGACGATAAAGATTTTTCATTATCGCAACTGTACAAGAAAAATGCAAAGGGCGTGGTCAGTTGAGTTGTGCGTACCACTGTGAATAAGACTTGAGTCTAGTCCATCTAAGACTAGACTGAACGATCATCGATGAAAGAGCCAAGTCCAGTTTTCAGCTGAAGTTTTCTCGGCTGAGGTCCACATCAACTGGGCCATTTTACAGTAACGGTACGAAGTCGATAATCCATGAGAGAAGATCTCGAGTCTGGTGTATCGATCGTTAAAAAAAAAAAAATAATAAACCCCCGCCGACGATGATACAATAATAAATATCACGTGGGCGGTTCTCTAGAGCGTCCATAAGTCGGTAATCCATCGTAGTCGTGCATTACAGTTAAATCGTCAGAATTCGAGTGTTCAATGAGCGACGTCCGTTGAATTGCATCTTACGAGGATCTGGACATCTCACTTGGGGTATCACATACTTTACATATTGATCACTCAACCGTTTCACTAATTACTTATAATCGCAGACAAGGGCGGGCTCTTCGGAACCGGGACAATTGGCGTCTTGTGCAATTGTGACACGAACCTGCACGATATGCACTGGTTCTTTTTTTCTTCTTCGTCTCATCCGTTTAGTACGACGTGAGGACACCAGGAGGTGTTGGAACCACGACGGTATGCTGAGGAACAACTGGAGGCGGTTGCGGAGCAGCCAGAGGATGACCAACCAGTACCGCGGCAGCGGGAATCGGCAGAACCGGTTGAGGAATTGCCGAGGGCGTGCTGACCTGCGTAGGCGGTCCTTCGACGGCGTGCTTTCGCAGATGTCTCAGCATGTTGCCCTTCTCGACGAAGGTCTTGCCACAGTCCGGACAGCTGTGCGGTCGCTCGTCCGAGTGGGATCTTCTGTGCGAGACCAGGTGGCCCTTGCACATGAAGTCTTTGGGACAAAGGTCACAGCGGAACGGTCTCTCCGCGTTGCTTCCCTTGTTGTGGGAGCGCATGTGGAATAGGAGATTTCCCTTGAGCGGGAAACTCTTGCCGCACTCGGTGCAGACAAACGGACGTTCGCCAGTGTGACATCGCATGTGGTTCACGAGATGTTCCTACAAAAGAAAGTAAGAAAAGTCAGACTAAGCGAAAGGATCGCGTCCTCATTTATGACTCCTGGTCGACATCCAAAACGGCAAAGTGAACCAATAATAAGAATAAAGTGTCCTCGTGCGAAGCTACCTTATTTCTTGAAAAAAAAAAAAAAAATTCATGACCCTCGACGATCTGTCATCAAATTTTGTACGAAATTTTCTCCAATCATCATAATAGAATAACATTGACCCTTAAAAAAAAAAAAAAAGGAAAAAGAGTATCTCGCGTCAGGAGTGCCAACGTACCTTTCTCGTGAACGGCTTCGAGCACACGTTGCAACAATGCGACGAATCTCCGGTATGTTGACGGAGATGATTATTGAGGTGTTCTTTCCGAGTGAACGTCCTCTGACAGAATTCACACCTATGTGGCGATTCACCGGTGTGGATTCTGACGTGATTCGTCAAGTGCTCCTTACGTGTAAATGACTTGGAGCAGAAGTGGCATCGGTGTGGCGACTCGCCTGTATGTTGACGCACGTGATTGGTCAAATGTTCCTTCCGCGTGAACGATTTGGTGCAATACTGGCACTTGTGCGGTGACTCACCCGTGTGCTGCCTGACGTGGTTCACCAGATGGTCCTTTCGCGTAAACGCTTTCGGACAGTATTGACAGCGGAAGGGCGTCTCCCCTGTGTATTTCATAACGATTTTTTCAAAACCTTAACTCGTCATTCAGACATGGACTTATCCTGCACAAGGCGAGTTTTGCCCGACATAACGCACGGAAGTACCACGAGCGGCGAATGTCCAATCCTTAAAAGATCAAGTGTCCACGGGGATTCCCCGAATGCCAGCTCGTACGGGGAATCCCCTCGTAGACACTTGTTACTCGATCCTACTCGCTTACACGTTTTTTTTTTGCCAGCCGGATACCACAATCCTCGCGAAGGATTCTACAGTGGATAAGAAACGGTTCCTCGTAAACTCCTACGGAAGCTCAAGAGGAATTATTCAAGTTCATCATTACACAATTTTCAAGCTCGCATTCTGAATAACAGGATAATACGTTGTGAAAGAAAAATTATATACAAAATTATTATCATAATGATGATCTTTGTGATCTACATTTCTTATTGGTGTACTGATTGGTTGAGGTTCCGGCATGACATTCTTTTTTCTTTTTTGTCTTTTTTTTTTTTCCTTCGATTACAGAGATATCAGAATCTCGACCAAACGGTAAGTGATTAGGAACAGTTGAAAAGGATCCATTCGTCGGTATCGGCACGTCCATGCGTTACGTCCGAGGAAAGTCAGCTTGTGCAGTAACGAGAGATCATCGAATACAAGTCTGAATCTGACGTAGCGCGAACGAAAGAGATAGAAATTTACAAAAAAAAAAAAATAATAATTAAAAAAAAGACGACCAAAAACTCTTTTCGACCGATTCCTCGCAATCACAATTAATATCTCGTATGATTTCGAAGAAAGAAAAATTCTGTACAGGAAGTCTGTAAGTGACGATAGATAACGCGTTAAAAAAAAAAAAAAGAAGAGAGAAAATCAACAATTTCAACTTTCACATTCCATCGATATCTCATTAGCTGTACAGCGAAATACAAAGCGAGACTCGGGACACCCTGTACATTAGAATCATTCATGTTTTCTTTATCTCGTTTGCTTCGAGCCGAGTTAAGAGTCGCTTATCGGGCAGGGAGTCGGAGCATCGCCTAACAAGTGTGACTGACAGATAAGAACGAAGCAAGGGACCAGACCATAACCAGTGGAAGGAATGATTGTAGTAAAACTCAAAAAAAAAGAAAAGATCCATAGCCGATCCTTCCAACGTATTTCGAGAAAACAAAAAAAATTAAACGATAATATAAAAAAAGAATTATGAGAGCGGCGTATCAGGCATAACCAATGACACGTCGACGATGACAGCGTGAAATGTCAAATATATCAAATAAACAAAATGAAATGATCTACGGGCAGTGGCAAAAAATGTTTTTTTTTCTTACCCGATTAAAACAGTGCAACTTTCACGTTATCCCGTTAACGTTATACAAAAGCCATACTCAATGATCAGCATGACAGGATGAAGTAAGCGTAGGTCGTGATAAGCACGACCAGAGATGATATAATGGGAAGCAGAAAATGACAGCTACGAGAGATCGACGATCGGCCGGATTGGAGAAGCAAAAACAAAGGGTCACACCTTTTGGCCCCGACGCGATCCCTGACCGATTATAATTTTTATTACTTTGAAATATATATATATATATATATATATATATATATTTTGTTATTAATCATGATTATTATTCTTCCTCCTCGATATGCTAATCCCAAACGTGAGCTACTGTTAGAGACGAAAGTTACGATCGGTTGCCCGTGAGATGAACATCTGCCAACCGCTCTCACCTGTGTGTTGGCGGATGTGGTTAACAAGGTGTTCCTTTCTGGTGAACGATTTGGAGCAGAAGCCGCATCGGTGTGGAGACTCACCCGTGTGCTGGCGAACGTGGTTCAGTAGATGCTCCTTTCGCGTGAACGTCTTCGAGCAGAAATCACAGCGGTGCGGCGTCTCGCCCGTGTGCCACATTATGTGGTTCGTGAAGTGCTCCTTCCTCGTGAACGACTTACCTGTATTAGCATTGAGAAACAAAAGCAAACGGAAGCATATAAATATTATGTAGTGTCACCTGGATCCAACATACATTCCCCTCTTTAAATCCAATGGGACGATTCCAAAGTCTCTTTGCTGTCACAATATATATATATATACATGCATATATGCATCTGTCAAATGTTTTGAGCCTGCAAGTTAGAACTATCCAAGTGAATTTGGATGATCTGAAATTTCGTATACAAGATTTTCACATCGAATTGTCTTAAATCGTGTTACGGTGTCGGAAACTCTGTATATGAAAAAAAAAAGAAAATTATTTCATTGGCCTTTAAATGCAAGAGACGGAAGAGCAAAGGTTAAACGTTTTGGGAATGCTTATGCATTAGGTTTCGTTAAACGAGCCGTGTACGTGAGACCGTAGGACATCAATGATGAGGGAGGGGACGAAGATTATCAGACGACCGGAAGTGTTGATTGTGGACGAAAGAAAAGTTTAGCTGCTCAAAGCAGCCGTCCCTTTGATTATCGGGAGAGACGAGGAAGACGCGAAAGAGAGTTAACGTGGCCGGTGAATGTAATTCGGTAATTTCAATAAATCGATACCGCGAGAACAACAGAGACAGAGTCGTTGGCCGGTTCGCTCGTGGCGAGTCTCGCGATTTAATTCCCAGGAATAGGTACGTGAGACGAATGTAAAATCGATAATTCCTTATCAGACCGCCCATTATATCCTGCACAATGGAAACCTACTGATTAAATGTTCCTTATCGGCCGGCGTGGTATCTTGGGTGCGTGAGGCGACTTGGCGCGGTCACAAAGCGTAACGAGACAACGGGAGTCGCGATACGAAACCTAAAAGGAGCCACGAGAACGTATTTTCCCAGGTGGCTTTACGGCCATTGGCGTCCGAAGCGCGGTTAATTCGAATCAGCATGACCAAACGAAAGGTGGGAATGGAACAAGAGAGAAAGTAAACGGAGTCGCGGATCGATTGGCGCGACAATTTTTCGGGAATGTAAATTCCCTGGTGTAATAATATTCCAAAGTGTCATTGGTGTTCGAACGTAGATCCACGTCACGGGCTCGATACGAAAAGGGAGAAAAAAGATAGGAATTACAAAAAAAAAAAATTTGATCCACCCAAGTCGAAAAAAAAAATTTCCTATCAGTAAAAAAAATTTTTTTAAATGTCACTCGAGACGAAGGAAATGATCGAATTGCGTGCAAAGGTAAACGCGTGAGTGACGCACGACAGGAAGTGAACGACCCGCGGTTCCAGACGACCGGAAATCGATGCCACTCTCACTGCGTTACGTGTCTGTCTTGCAGTCTCTGTTTAGCTCGTGCTCGTCTATGTATCTTGTATGTTCAGGAACGAGAATTCAAAGATAAATAATACGCACCGCTGAGATTTACGAAATAGCAAGTCATGCCATCACAATTTCCGCACGTAAGCGGGTCCCGATAATTCTTGAGGGTTCGCGTACGCGTAGTACGTGGAAACGATGAAAACAATGAGCGAAGACGCGTCGCTGCCCGGCGCACTGTAGAAAACGCGAAACGCGAACGCCGGAGTACCGACCCCGAGGCTAAAGACACCAATTCTAAGGTTAGAGGGGAGCTTTGTAAAGGAATGCGCGCGACCCGCGCGACTGGGGGGTTGATGCGATGCGCGATCAATTCTCGCGAATTTTATTTCCCCGCTGCTGCTCCTGCTGCTGCTGCTGCTGCTACTACTACTACTACCACCGCCACCACCATCGATACCTGCTGCTACTACTACTCCGGTATTACGCTGCTGCTACTAGCGTTTAAGGTGTGTTTGTGATAACTCCGAAGCGAAGACTGCGACGCTGGCATAAGGGCGGAGGCACTGTAATGCTGCTCTCGATTTTTTTTTTCTTTCTAATTAAACGCCTTTTTTTACGCTCGACAATTTGCTATTTTTTAATATTGTAACATTGCAGGTCACGTTTTCCGTGTTTATTATCATGCGTCGGTACTTACCTTGAAAATTATTTCGTTTGGACATAACTTTGGTTCAAAATTGATTATCCTCAAAATATGTAACATGCAACATGTTTTTGAAACGTGATTCGAATTTTTTTTTTTAATGCATGACTCTTTGATCCCTTTTTAACTTTTTTTTTTTTTTCAATGCGATCGATTCGAATTATCGTTCTCCATTTTGGAATCGCCCCATCCGCTGTTCTGTGTCTCTGGCGCGTTGTGTAAACTTGGATCTCTATAGCGCGCAGCAGCCGTGTAAATCCTATTACACAACGTGGAGACATTCAATGTAAACACGACGAGTTTTCAAAGCCGACGGCGACTTGTTCGGATGAGTTCCGTTGGCTAAGCTACAGAGTTATCATGCGCAACTTAGATTAGCATTACCTAAATACTGAAAAAATTGATCCACAAATTAATAATGCCTAGAAAATAGACAACTAAATATACCAAAGTATTCTCAACAATCCCTTCGTTAAGGCACCGTCAATCAGTCATGCACCACGTTGCAGTCTGGTCGAATAGATAAACAAAAAAACGTCAATTAAGAAGGAAAAAACCAGACACGCCTAATGTACGTATAATGATACTCAGTCAGGCAAACTTTTTCTAATGTACCCCTCCCTGTAGAACTTAATGGAATGTAAAAGAAGGTGAAATTTAAGTTACAGTAAAATAACCGTAACGACATATTCAAAAAACTCGTATGAGACCGCAGTTACTTACCACAAATCTCGCATCGGAACGGCGTGTCGTTGGTATGGGAACGCATATGATTGGCAAGGTGCTCCTTGCGCGTGTATTTTTTCCCGCAGACCTGGCAATGATGCGGAGTCTCGCCAGTGTGCCACATGACATGATTCATGAAGTGTTCCTTGCGAGTGAAGCTCTTCTTGCATATGTCGCAGCGATGCGGAGTCTCGCCAGTATGCTTGCGAACATGGTTCACCATGTGCTCCTTGCGTGTGAAAGTTTTGGCGCAATACTGACACCTGAGGAGTAAGAAAAAAGTTTAAAGATTCATGGTGGACACGGTAAGCTGAAAGCTACAGGCATACAAGTGCATCTTACGTAAGCGAATCATTTAACTTCAAAACATTGTGAACGCACCTGTAAGGTGTTTCGCCGGTGTGACAGCGAGTATGGTTGTCTAGATGTTCCTTCCTAGCGAAACTTTTTCCGCACACTGTACAATTGTAGGGCTTGTCGGTAGCGTGACGCTTCATATGGCGCTCCAAGGACGGCGCGTTAGCGAAGACGTGGAAGCAGACTGAACAGGTGAACATGGATCCACCCAGGTGACATTTACCATGACGAGTTAGATCGTTGGCATTGGTGAATGCCTTTCCGCAGACCTGTAAGTAAATGAATAACAAAAATAGAAGTATATCAGAGGGAAGTAATGCCGAGCGCGATAATGATACTTATAGTAACGGTGGACCTGGACTCGAGAAACGTTCATTTACCTGGCACGTGAATGGCTTCCTTTCAGTATGATATCTGCGATGCACGATAAGCTGATAGCGAAACTGGAAGATCTTGCCGCAGACCTCGCAGGCATGGCTACCAACGGATACGGGCGAGGCACTTGGTCCGGGCGTGGCCTCGCCGTCGCTTGTCTTTATGTCAAACTTGTTAAGTTGAACTTGCTGTACTATCGGTGTTCCATTCTGTATGGTGGTGACAGTTTGCGTCGGTACGGTACCACCTACGAGAGTGGTGCCAGCTGCTATCTCACTTTGCAGCTTTCCGAAGACCTCGTGGTACGCCAACAGTTGATTGATATCCTCGACATTTACCTGATGACAGAAGCGCGTTTTTTTTTTTTTTTTTTTTTTTTTTTTTTTTTTTTTTTTTTTTTTTTTTTTTTCGTTTACGATCCTAGCCGCTAGAAAGATTTCTCAATGGTCGTTGTCATCATTTATAAGGAGGCCTCTCACCTTGTACATATTTTGTACCATCTCTACGCCAAGAGTCTTTGCTAGATCTTGTTCGTTTCCGGCACTTATTTTAACGACCGAGCCGTCGGCTGTTCTAACGTCCATCATATGACCACCAGGTTTAAGGTCAGGAAGTTGAAACCTGCAAGTAAGAAAATATATCCAGTGGAGACACTGGCCAAAGTCTCATGATTTTTTTTTTAATTTAAGAAACATACTGTGCCATGTTCAGCTGACGCATTTCCTTCTCCTTCTCGGGCTTCTCTGAATTGTTCTGACTTCCGCTTTCCGCAGTGGAACTGCCGCTAATGTTGACGCCAATTTGTTGCTGCTGCTGTTGCTGCATGAGACTCTGCTGAAGATCCTGTGGCGGCTGTAGCTGAAGATCACACTGGACCTGACAATGGACTTGATTATCGCTGCACCGTTCTGTAGTGCAACTACCACCCTCGTCCTTTACTTTATTATCATCCCGTTGTGAGTTCTGACTCTGCGAGCTTGGTCCACTGTTCTGTGCGTTCTGATGACTCTGCTGCATCTGATGATGAGACTGTTGCTGCGGCTGCTGGTGCAGCTGCTGCTGCTGTTGCTGTTGCGACTGCATCTGCTGCTGCATTTGAGCATGCGCCGCCTGCAAGTGACTGACACTTGCGGGAATGTGCGTCCCGTCTAGGCTAAGGCCAGGAAGAGAGCCTGGAATCTGCGAAGAAGATTAGCAACATATTCTTTATATACCATTCTTATTATAAAAAAATTACAAGTCCTAGCCATTTAGGTAATACTTATATCACTGTAGAGTGCTACTGTTCAAGAATATTAAAGTGAGCTATGGATTAAGTCTGAAGCATCTTAAATAATTGTAATATTTACTTTACAACTAAAGAAACAAACTGAGATTAATCAGTATGGAAGTAAAGAAAAGGAAGATAAAGAGCAAGCATAACAAAGAAAGTACTGTCAAAAAATTACTATCTAAAGCAAGGCACGATAATGCTACAATGAATGTCGAGGGGAAATAGAAAATCAAAGATGAATCTTCAACTCCGTGTCATCACTAGATGATATTGAGTGTCATTTAGACAGCGTTGGGACTCATTCTGCACTCCTTGGTGTATAACACCGGATCTCCTTGCTGTACGACCAAGTATAAAAGTCTTCCAGGGCGCAAAGCGTAACTGTGCTACAACTGGTCGTGCATCTACATGGAAACAAACCTGCTGATTGGACTGCAGAGAGCCGTGATGACCGACGCCGCTAATCGAAGCTTGTTGATGATGATGATGCGAAGTCGTCGACTGATGATGCGAATTCGAGGTCAACGCCATTTCCTGGTTAAACGAAGACTCTTTTGGAGATGCCTCAACACCACCACCACTCCTACTTGAGGAGATCTGGTGGTTATGGTGGTAGACCGAGACCTGGGGTAGCGGCCCAGGAAACAGATTGGTGAAGAGCCAATATTTAGCTACCGAGGAGGCTAACGCTACTGCTGTACCTACGCGCTGCTCCTCAGAGGAATTCCGGGTGCTCCCTACATTGTTGTGACTGCTTGAACTAGTCGAACCACCTGGGTACGAAGGACGACCACTTTGACCCGAGTTTACTTCCTACCGGTACACATTCAGACATTTGTACGACATCGACAGGGCATGCGACTAACATGCAATAGGCTCGCTTTTCCAATCGACAAATGCGCCAGGTAGGACCTTTGTGCTCATTGAGATGTATACTAAGTACGTGGAGTTCAAATATACAGGAAGGCTGGGATATTTTCAAAATTGCTTCTTTGAATATTTATAATTCTCATCATTGAATATATATGGGACTGTCTCGAATCTAATTCTCCCAGAACGTAAGTGAATCCTTATTCTTCGATCATGTATGTCAATGTCAATTTGAAATTGTTCATTTTTAGAGTACATAAGGTTTCGATCCTTACTAATTATTACTTTACAATATCTTCTACTACCGGTTATAAATATGTCAAAGGATACAATTAACAATGAGAATCTACTGCATTATCTATATACAAGCGGTTACTAAGCAAAGTTGCTATGTATAATAGTTATGAGATACTATGGGTTACAGAGCAATAATGAAAGATGACTAATGCCCAGGAATTACAGTAATAGAGAGAAACACGAGAGGCAAAGAAAGATAGAAAGTCATAGAGAGGGATTCGAGTACTTTGAAGAAGCTTCTTTTCTTACCGTCCAGCCTCACAGAAATAAAAATAGTTCACAAACAGGCAGTTGACCCAAACATTCGTTCTTGGCGAATTACATTTGTATTGAATCCTGTTCGAAATGGGATCTGAAGGAAAACGAAAAGAGACTAATAAAAATAGGGAACTTAGAGCACAATTAAAAAATTGATCTAAAAAACGAAAGTACATTTCAAGAACAAAGCTGATGGTCCAAATGACAAAACATAATATTCTGTTTACTATGAAAAAAAATCCCTTTCGCGTACCCTTTCATAGTGACTCTATAAATCATTGCGCATTTGTAGTTTGGCAAATAGCCCAAGAACAAATAATAATTTCTCACCTCTTGCTGAGCCTGCGTAGTCGCTGGCAATGCATGCTGCTCACTATTCATCTTTGATCAATAAAGACAATTATTTAAACTCTTCTGATGGGCCTCATTTATCATCCTGCAAAATACAGAAGTAAAACATTGTTTTAATGTTACATTAAAAAAGTCAGTGGCATGATTGCGCCATATATTCAGCGGACGTGGATGCAAGAGGGGATAAGAATCAAGATTCAACATATCATGAAACGTTAAAAAAATGCAATCAAATAAAATTCTCCAACTCCAAAAATTTGACAAGTAATTCAATTCCTATTAACCTCAAAACCTGCATCCAGTTATCGCTACAAGAATGAAAAATAAGGACAACTGATCACGTGTAGACTGCGCTGAAAGGTTATTCGTCCAGACAATGGAAAAAAAAAATCATGGAAAAACCTGAATCAAGAGTAAAAATAATGACATATAACTAAACTTTCATTAACCTTAAAACACTCAATGAATATTCCATAAGAAAAACATGAGAAGGTGAGTCATCGAATACCATGACCCGTACTCGACAAAGGCCATATCCGAAATTCTCCATATAAGATAGACCCAACTGAGGGTCAAGTAACAGACTATGATCCGGATGGCAACGTTAATGAAAATTTACTCGACTGGGCGTGATACCCGTATCCTCGAGGTCCGCGTCGAGTAATCGGGCACCACCTTCTGGTCTCGTAGTCGGCACATGACGCGTCAATTACCACAGAGCGTAGAACGGGGACAAGGGGCCAAGACAAGATGGAGGTGCGTTCGGAGTATCAGGACAAGGAGATTTCTAATTAAGGCTAATACTCAGGCTAAAGAAGAGGAGCCTAGGGGAACGGAACTCACGTGGTGCACGGTGCCGTCGGCGGTTCTCGCATCTCGTTTCCTAAGCCGTACGACTGTCTCAGGCACGGGGACGCGCGTCCCGACGCAAGGGGGGACGCCTCTTGGTGCCTCTTGACGCCTCACCTCGCCACGAGTACCCACAAGCAAATCCCAGGATAATGGCCACGCACCCTTGCCACACTCCTCCACTATATCACCAAAGCAACCAGCAGCTCGACCGGGACAACTAGCACCCGTCCAAAGCCCCCGGGGACGTCGGGGCGCGCCACTATTTTCCAAAAACTCACTGCAAGATCGTACGCGCTCGCGGTTTACAGAAAATACGACGACTGTCATGGCGTCCCTCGGCCACCCCGCACGAACATGGGCGCCTCCAGCACCGTCTGTCGAGAACCTGGACAGTTGCTCCACGTAACCCTACAACAGTTGCTAAATCGCTTCTATCGACGAGATTTTTATTTTGAAGCGTCTTAACGCAACAGCCAGACGTATACGTCAGTTATTTTCTTGCAAAATATCTGAAGTGCGCTATCTCTTATACGCCAGTATGCGCGCGCACCTTCCGGTTGAGCGCGCATGTCGCACGTTTCCTGTTCTCTGCGCTTCGCCAAGCTCGAATCGCAATGGAATGTCGCTAGTCGTGTTTCCGTTGGTAGAAACCAATATCTACGAAGATTCTGCGGGTGTGTCTTGCACTTTTCTCTGCGACATCACTTAATGCGGATTTTTTTAGAACGTATGGATAAGTTCAAAAAAAATATATTAATATGCTAAAGAGTTTGGAAGGGAAAAGGATATTGGATATGATAAAATATGATATTAACGTGCAAAACTTTTTTGTCTCTTCTTATATAGATATATATTATTCCATATGCAATAATCATTAACATTTAAACTACAATTGTAACCGTTATTTACATCAATTTGTACAGACGACCTGTCGTGGTCTTTGTTATGCATATGCACTGTTACGCACATTCCGCGTACAGGATTCTTTTTTTTTAATTTATACTACAACAATTAATAATAATATTGCTGTTTCACTGGGAAACATTAGCGGACGAGATTCAAGATTTTTTGAAATTCATTTCTAAGTAGAAGGGATAATTATAAAAAAGAAAGGTAAACATAGTCGCCGCGCGTTAGAAAATGAGAGACAGAGAGGGTAACGAAGTTTAATTTTCCCCCGGTGTCATGTACGTTAACCGACCATGTGTATGTTGACTAGTGGACTAAAATATAAAACCGTCGCAATAATTATACATACACGTGTGAATTAAATAAACACCAAATACTACCATTTTCATTTTTCCTGTTTTATATAAAAAAATTTCTTACAGTTATTTGGTGTTTCTGCTAACGCGTACTATTGCTCTGAATAATCTGGATGTGTTTAAAGGATCTTACGTCCCACGAGATTCAGTCCCAATTGTTACACGCTTATAAAAGTCATTGATAACACCTGATTCGCATCGCAATTATCCAAAGCATTCTACAATATCGGGCAATACGATGTGTTCCTCCTTTTACATGCTTTTCGCTCGTACAAGTTCTTCAACGAAAACGTCACAGCGTTACAGTGACTCAAAGTCACAATTAAAGTAGCGGATAGATGGCTCGACTGTATTCCAAAGTGCTATTCAAAGTGACTTAGAATTAAGTCAAGAATGCAAAACCGTCGCGGATCCAAGAGAAATATCTCCAAGATCCATTAACAAAAGTCGACCTAATATCATCGAGCATACTTTTCCATATGACTTTTTTTTTACAAAATCTATGCTTATAAACAGAAGGAAAATGAGAGAAATATTGTACAAGAAATACATTGTATTGAGAAATACAAGATCACAATTCCGTGGTGATCTCGTCCTGGGGCCTAAAGCCAAGGATCGTGAAGTCATCGATGAGGTAGTCACGAGTCGCCGACCAGTCGGACAGTATAGTATAATTAGCGGCCTCGACGGCACTTTGAAATTCCCACTGGGGATTGAGTTCCCGATCAAGAGTATTACTATCCTCATCGCGAGGAGTAAGATTGACCTGTGGCAAGTTGCCAGGGGAATTATAGTTATGATTGAAGGTAGAGATGGCCAATTCCTGCAGATGTGATCCTACGTGCTGAACCCTCTTCTGTTCCCCGTAGACGAGCGGCGTTGTCTGACCCACTGTGGATCCATTTGGACTGAGCTTCTCGTTGTAGACACTTGAACTATTCTGTCCTAGGCTGGAGCCAACCGGACTGTCCTTGACGTATCCCAAGCTGGAGCTGGCAGGACTTATGCTGGACTTATCGCTGGCTTGGAACGTAGTGAGCGGTGCATTCGGCTGGAATGTCGTGAGATTCGTTGGCGTAGCGCGCGGCTCGTACGGTGGCTGTGTTGGCGTTGCTATGGTGATCGGCTGAGCCGGCATCATCTGGACGGAGGTCGCTGGTTGCTGCAGAAACGTTACCAGCTGAGCCACCTTGAAATTCAGATGTTTTACCATTGGACGAGACTCTACGTGTACTCTATGTGAACTCATGGGTATCCTCACTCTAATGCTATTGGTACACATGCTTCTTAGTTAAGAGAGCATCGTTATGTGGTTACAGAGTAATAACTTGATATGTACAGTAGAAAGCATATCTGGTCTATAAATCTCTAGGATTCTACACCTTCTCCTTGGCACATGCGACTCACCAAACTGTCTTAGAGACTGGGCGTGTAAGAAAGAGATAAATAAATTGAACATCTCGCAATGAAATAGAATGCAGTAAGAATCAAAGTAGACCTTCCAGGTGTCCAATCTTACTTCGGGTGAGCTGTGTCTCTTGTATCTTCGTAGAAGACGTTCAGCCCAGGCTAGCAGTCTCTGCCAGTCCTCTGGGGGCACTGGTATCTCGTCGTCCCTCTTGTTCACCAGAACGAGGATCCGGGCGAGATCACGAAGAACGGGTCTGTGCAAAGAAGTCCAATAAATAAATGAGTCCAGACAGATAGCAACAGCATGGGACCTATCAATTATTCAAAGATACAAAATTCCCCATACCTGTACGCTTGAATACCAACAGCGCCATCCCCGTTATTCCTGGAATAGTAAAGTTCCCTGACTTGTCTCCTGGTGTCATTCAACATCGCTAGAAACGTGTTTGCTTCTCCTCGTAGGGTAGCCAGGTGCTTCAGGAACTCCCTTCTCTCAGCGCTGTTCCAAAATAAACGAATTAACACAAGTCAAAATCAGCGCGTTCGATGCCCAACAAAGTGAAACTCAAATGAAAATGACAAAAAGGAAATCAAAGACAAAAAAAACAATCTCACCTGTCCTCAAACTGCTGAACCATCTTGGCTGCTCTTCTCTTTCTCCTGTGAACGACGATGACCCCGCAGAGTATTATGAAGATGCATATAGTAGCCCCAGAGGCGACACCAACGAGTATGGCAACTTGACTACCGGTGAGACCAAACATATATCCGGTCTCCTTGCAGATGCGGCCCATGTACTCATCCCTGGTTGACCAATCGGCGATGTGACCCGATGGACAGGTATCGACGCATACACCCTGATGAAGTAAAACGGCGCACCGTGCACAGGAACCACCCCTGCACCTTAAGCATCCAGACTGTCCGTCGGTGCATTCTGAAACACAAGAAATCCCTTTCTAAATACAAAGCTACAAAAGGTGGGTACCAGGCAGATACCTCTTGGTGGGCAGGTACCCTCAAGTCATAAAACTAGAAATAGGTGCAGTGCTAAGGTAGACAACCAGGCACAAGGTATACACATAATACAAGTACGCCTATAGTAAGTTTAACGATTTCGAAATCCTTTGTTCGGAAGGTCAAACGGAACATATTTCTCACAAGATGGCGGATCACCTCGCTCTTACACGTATAAAGCGCCAAGTAGAAGACGGCCACAGGATATCCCAGTAAAACTATTATAAAACAGTGTACAAGTAACGGTAAGCGAGTCAGCTGGTACGTAAAAGCAGAAACAACCATAATTTATCCTTAATAAAAAAAAAAAGAAAAAACCTCCAAAGCGAATCTGCCGGGTTACGTGAAATCGTAACCCAGCAAAGTTACGTCAATGCGCGAATCCTTTTATCACCAGGAAAAGGATAATCTGTGCGATAACGTAGTAGCCTCTTTCGATTCCACAACAAATAATTTCGCAGTCTTTTCTGTCATTGCGATAGCGAGATGCGCGTGGGTAGAAATACATATCTATATAGCCAGTACACGTCAGCAGGGCGCACAGGGGGTTAGGAATTGCATAAGCAATCAGAGCACATCCGCCGGCGGTATCACAGAATTCCCTCGACGTGCATATGGACCAATGATCTCTAAGGTTATGATAATAATTGAATATTATCGACATCGAAGCGAACCGCTCGGCCCGGATTCTTTTGATCGGTGATCCATAGCTCGGGGCAATGGGCCAAATGCTTGGACCCCGTCGAATAACCAAGGCCTCGTATACGTTTCAGATAATAATAAGTATCTGCAGATCGATCGAGATATGCCTCCGCGTACAAACTTATAGATCGCTGGATCACGTGCGATCCAGCTGGCACGTACAGCCATGACTATGTATCCCTGTTACGTTACAACTCATAAAATTGGATCTAGGATCCTGACCTAAGGCTGAGCCTGGATATCATTCCCATATGACTTCGTTTCGCATATGCTAACTGTATGGGCCTCGTGAGAAGCCAGGAAGATGACTGCGAAGACGTATATGGAGACGAGAGGGTGTCTCTGACAGTATTGCTCTATTAGTACGCATATGAGGAATGCAGTTGCTGGTTTCTCGATTATGTGGGTCTACTAAAGTCCTGAGTCGAAGCGATTGCCACGGAGAAGGTGTTGCTTGACGGGTAAGGAGAGCTCTGAAACCATACATTCACCAAGTTGAGAACACCCTGACAATGTACCCGTGTGGCCCACGATTATCTGAGCGTGTACGTTATATATATATATATATACGTTACCATAGTACAGACACCAGGCGCATAGGCAATGCTCGTGAACCCTGGAGGTCGTCGATTTATACCACGATGTGACGGCTGTTCTCAAAATTCTTTTTAAATTTTCTTGTTTCGTGGAAAAACGAATTATCGATTGTTATACTTAATTCCAGCCTTAATAATCTTACAGCACATTATGCTAGAACAAACATAATATATAAGATCGTTACGTGGTACATATCCCAATGCAGCCACTGGGCAGAGTGTGTATATACAGTGATTCATCGATAAGGAATTTATAATGTTACGTACGAAAGGTCAAGGTTTTCGTAAAATGATTTATTGAATTTTTGCAAAGACTATGTTTACTGTGGAAAAGTAGGAGGCTTCTTTATCTGACATGTGTATCTACGTATGTGAAAGAGTAATTTTCTGTTTTATGTGTGTATATACATATATATATATATACAGAGGTAAGCAGACTGGTTCTGTACATTTCGTATCCCATGTAGCGATAATCGTTTGGTGACTACGAAGTAGGAGTTTGATTTCTCTCTATATATATAGGCTCCTTCAAAATGAATTCTCGTTTCCTGGTCGCCATCTCTAATTATATACAGGATCGATCGCTCACGAGATTCCCAAGAGATTCTTTAATCGAACCACGTATTGGATATCTCGTCTTCCATTAAATCATAGCGCTCAATCTTGCTGTGTTATTTATCCAGTTACCTCCTAACCGAGACGATATTGCGGTTATCTTCAGTATTTATATGTGCATCTATATATATATATTTTCTATAATGACATTACTCACAGCAATAAAAGTTTCACCGATTAAATGATTAGCGTAAATTTCACCAAATTTTCCTAGCGAATATCGTAAATCGTTGAACGCAGTGAAAAATGGCTGTGCCGTTAATCGGCTCGTGAGAATTTGTATTTATTGAAGCGTGAACGGGGAATACGGTGCTGGCCCAGGTGTCTAGGAGGAACGTGGACTTGGATCGAAAGTTCCAGCGGGTGGAAGGAGGTAAACGAGTCAGTGAAGTGGTACGATGCCATCGAGAGGAAGTCATCCGGCTATCTGACTGGATGTTCGAGCCTAGAAAGAGTAGACGTACCTAAATGGTACGATAGGAAGCGAATAAAGAGAGTTATATAGGATGCGAATATGGATGAAAAAGGATAGAACAATATGGAAGCGAAAAATAAGAGACGAACGGCCTCGCTTTTCTCTCGACGACAACTACGAGAGTCTGCCCCTCTCCATTTTCAGGTTACTCTTTATGTACACTGCCAAGAGAGAGAACATGCTTACAGTTATGTTTGACGCAATGCATGGGCGCCGTCCTCAACGTATAACGACCGGCTTCCTAGGATATCTCGAAACCTGAATCTTTCCACACCAAATACGCGGCCAGCCGACAAGTAAATAGTATAGGTAGGTATAAGGCACCAACGAGTCTCCTACAGTGGCACATTCAAGATAACATAGATATTAAAAGACAATAATGAAAAGGACAAAGAGAATGTATAAGACCACGTTTATTTGTAAGATCACAAGCAGACGATAACCCCGAACCATAAAGCGTCGCCCTGGTAATTGGCCCCGTTTCAGTTTCGGCCCTCCTCGCGAAGATGTCACCACTTAGTTCACGAGTTTTTCCGCTAGGGCGCACGACCGTCGCGCTCCAATGAATTTGATCCGCCCGGTCGACTAGCACGACTATCGTACGACAAAGCCCAGTCTAGCAGCAGTTCCTGACCCCCGCATCCCCCTTGCCCGTTCAATCTCACGATGTAAAATGAAATTGAATATTTTTCGGGAGAGATCCGAGAACCGGAAGTCCACTCGTTCCAGACTCTGAAGCGAATGATCGAATCATCCGGTTCGCAAGTGGCCGGCCATTGTGCTATGGACTAACCAAGTGCATAGATACGAGCCGTGAAGCTTTGCTGCGATATAAAGAAAGAAAAAAGAAAAACCTTAGGAATATTAATTTCTAACAATAGCCCCTTATCACTGGATAGGAGACTTCTAGAATTACGACTACGCACGTAGATATACAGGCTATTACCGGAAGACGGAACGTGACGTCGGTACGCTGGATACTTAACCTAACCTACAAACAGAAGCCTTCAACTGCTCGTCTTCCTGCCTACAATGAATCGCGACGCTCATCATCTACCATTTACCAGTAAGCTAACACCAAGTGTATTCAACGTTCCTCGACGTATTCCAAAGTCCCTAAAGGCGAAATCGCAAAATGGTCGATGTCTCCTGTGGTCACGGTGACCGCGATCGGTTCCCCGTTTTGATTAGTCAGACTGGTCGGAACGAGATTCTTGCATCGAACTGGTCCCAGTCGATGACGATAATGCTTTTAGGGTCCTTGACGATGTCTCGTAAGTTCGCCTTAGCATTTCGCGCTCCGTCAGATCTGTAAACACGAGTATATTAATGATTACAATTATTCTAGATCGACAGCCGATCGACAATCTCATTCGACCGAAGAACAATCATCGTCGCGAGCCAATCAAAAAATATGTTAATCGCAACAGCTAAAAGACAGTCACCTATCAAAAGATACCAAAGACAGTCAAAACCTGACTGTCGTCGTCAGCGAACGTATACATACCCATAGAGTAATGATTGATCCCAGTGACTATCAATACAAAATGAAGCCAAAATAACGTACGCAAGAAAAATGCACTTCGAAAAAAGAAAAAACATCCTGCATCCATATATTCCATCGATTCCTGGTTGAGTACCTCTGCAAGGCCGTTGGGAGGCCGATAAGCCGCCAAGCCAACGACTCTATTTCAGACCCGTTGGAAACGGCAAAATGTAAAATGCAACCCACGTAAATATCGTGCCGAGTATCGGTCACGTCGTGGCGAAACAATGAAAGCGTACATTGCGCGGTGTGTATCGAGTAATCTTTTATCTGAAGGAAAGAAACAAGTGGAAGTACGTGGGGTCCGAGTGGTTATTGCGTATAAACGGCGTTACGCGCGGAATTAACGAATATTTCGAGAGACCATCGAGCGGCGTTTGCCGAAAGGGAAAAAAGAGGAAGCGAAGAGACAAGTAAAAGGAAAAAGCGAAGACTAACGATAAAACGAAAAAACCGCCTAAGACCAACGTCAATTAACGTCGCGGAAAGCAAACGCTACGGGATTAACGAGGGGAATTGGTCGAGAGGACAAAGACCATAATATAAAATAGTGGAACCGGCCGTACATGCCACCCCGAAGTGACTCCCGCATGTGTGGCAACCTCTTACTTTCTTCCTCTAAGTTCACAGCAAAAGAGAGCCACGTTAGAGAAGCGCTGGCGAGTGCTCGACTGTCTAATCCTTGTCCGCATATGGGAGACACTGGTGCACGTATATATATATTCACACGGGTTAAGAAATACATGGTTAGAGGAAGAAAAAAAGGGAAACGTGTTTACTTGGATGAGCGTTACTTGGGTTACGTCGGGTATGACGTCACGGCTGTAATTTGAGCGCCGTGTAATGCCCATTACGTCACTTATCGAACGGCCTTTGTCCTTAAGGTATACGTTATGTTTTGAATACACCGTGTCTATAGTGTGTTCACGAGTAAATAGTATTTTTTTTTGACACATCCAAAAAACAGTCTCCAGCAAAGACGCACG